CTGAAAAATTTAATTTTTTCTGAAAAGGTGGTGTCTATTTACTTGTGACCACGCTGTGTATACATAATTGGGTACATTTGTTTAATTGTATAATAATGTAATTTTTATGTTATAACTGTGTTACAACACAAGTACTTTGCATTCAATATTAGTTTCCTTCTGATGATGGTGCTGTAAGAGCAACGAAATGTGTAGCGTCTATTTTAACATTCTAATAAGCAAAAAAAATAGCATTATGCATCATGTTGTCTTATCATTTTCATATAAAGTTGCATAAAAGCCATTTATCTAATATCTTAGGTAGTCTATCACACTATTCATTCCTGCTGTTGGTTGTGTCTTATGTTGAAAACACTTTATTTAATGTAAAATTCATCTTAATTTTTTCTTTGTTACAGCTAAAGTTAGAATGTAGAAAATACAATAAATCACTGTTTCAGACTAACATTCTGGTTTTTTTTAAAAAAAGATTTTGTAATCACCTTATTGTTTCTGCAGGCTGGAATGAGCTATTGATTGCAGCCTTTTCTCATCGGTCTATTTCTGTAAAAGATGGGATTGTTTTGGCAACAGGGCTTGTAGTACAGAGAAATAGTGCTCACAGTGCAGGAATGGGAGCAATCTTTGACAGGGTACTTACTGAATTGGTTGCCAAAATGCGAGAAATGAAAATGGACAAAACTGAGCTAGGATGTTTAAGAGCAATTGTTTTGTTTAATCCAGGTATGCTCATTATAAATATATATGTTTTTCCTTTTTCATAGTAGAAATTTAACTTTCACAAAATATGATCAATAGAAAAAACAATGCTATGCTATTTAATGAATAGTAACAATTATTGCAATAAGGTACATTACCTCCTCTCACAGATATAGCTATTCTCGTTCAGAGCTACCTTCTATATGGAAAAAATTTTTTGCATGCCACAAGCCTTGAACTTCCCTGTAACCCACGATCAACTGTGTCTCGCATGTATATCATCATACAAAAACCCTCCATCAATAAGAATGGACACACCGTCCTGATGAATGTGACTCCCTCTATTCAATTATACCGAACTAACACTTCTCGTTTGGCAGTGCTTGTGTCGAGACATTTTTTATTGTGTTCTTCACCTGTGCTGTTTTTTTTTAAACTTGGGGAATTTTTTTCAACGTTGATTGAACTATTTTGTAATTTGTTCTGAAGTGGAATTGTTATTCTCATTTTTCAAACGTTTGCGAAAATAAAGATAACTTACTTTTTTCTTTTAGTTTTCCATTTATTTATTCTAACACTGTTGTGTTTGGTTATTCATCTTTAATGATGAATTTTGAAGTCTAAGTTACCACTTCAGAGGTAATATCATCTACCAGCACACCTACACAGGCTGCAGGTGGGGAGAACTTGACATTAGAATTATCGGCTCTCATTCAATGAGAGATTGATTGTTATATGAGGTAACCTTCTTCTCCTGATGTTGCTCATTTTCCTCCTGAACAATGAGGAATTGTACAACCTTTTTCCTCCAACTGATTTTGCCGTGTCTTCCTATATCCCTACTGATGAATCAGCTAAGCCTAATATGGTTTTTTTGGGCATAATTTTTCAGGTGTGTTCTGTTTTATCAATTTTCTCGATTCCTTATAATCTTCTTCCTTCCTTGTTACATCCACCTCCTTTCCGAGGCACTCCACCAAGATCCTGAGGGTTTTTTCGAGGGATGACCTTCATGTTGGCAAATTTTTCTTCTTTGATTCTTTCCTTATATAGGTTTTTCTTTTGAGAGTTATGGCAAGAATTAGGTAAACAGCATGTAACATTTTTACAGATTTTAGGCGTATTTGAGATTTTTTTATAATAATAATAATTGTAAGTATAGTATTATATTGAAAATAATTCTAATTGCATTTCATTTAGATCTGATCAGTTTTAGGACCTTTTGATAACATTGACAAAAAACTGCCTTCTGCTATAACCTTCTGATGATCTTTTAGTTTCTTTCAAATATTTTTTATTACTTAGTATATCTTAGAGTTAATTCATATTGTAACTAACAAAAAAGAAAATTTTACTTTCTCAGTACATAGCTTTAATAAATGTCTCATAACTGAATGTGGAGTTATGCAAATAAAAAGCAAAAAGTAAAATCAGTCTATTAAGCAAATTTGGTAAAAACTGATAAGATAAAGCAAAACAAGGAAAATAAAAACAAGCAGAACTAAAGTATTTCCTTTTGTAAAACTGTGAAGCAGAAAACTTAAAACCAAAATAAGAGAAAATGTTATTTTTTCTTGTAATCTTTTTTTAAAAGTTTCTGATCTATCAATTCTATTAATTTGAATCATGTTCTGGATAATTAATCTTAATACACTAGAATGTAACTAGTGCATTGTTTGATTATAGCAAAAAGTCTGATAAGACAAGATAAATGAAAAATTGGGAATTTAAAAACCTGGAAATAGGGATCATAAAAAAGTAAGGAAACAAGGCTGGAGATACTGTAGACATTATTTACACAAACTACAAGCCCCTGTATTGGCTTCATGCTGTTATTTAGAATTATATTTGGTGGAGTCAAAATAGGGATTTGTAGTTTCAGTAGATAATGTCTACAGTATTTCCACTCTTGTTTCCTCACTTTTTTTACGATCCCTATTTGCAGGTTTTTAAATTCCCAATTTTTTTATTTATCTTGTTTGCTGGCTTTTTTTTTATGCTTAACTAAGGGTAAAGAATTACTTGATATGGTAACAAACTTTAAACTTTGTAATGATAATAAACATAGCTAGTAGCTAGCTGATATGATTGATGATGATTTACTGTATCTATTGACTATTTGATCACATTAGTTCGAGATGTAAAATGTGAAGCTGCATATGGAGACTGTTATGTAGAATTATTTGAGAATATAGTGAGCACTTAGAGTTTCTGTGTAATTAAATTATCTATGTATAATGCATAGCAATGGGCCAAGACTAAGATACAACGACCACTAAGTGCATATAAAATTTTACCAGTAGAAAAGCAGTCTTTTCAAATAAAACATATACTTCTAAAACATCACTTTAAATAAACCTTTGTTTTTTAAAGTAATCATTCTACCAGTGTAATAAACTTTAATATTATGTTTATTGATATTTTTTTTACCCCTTCACTTTATACATAATGTTACGTCTCCGTTTGTTAATTGATTTTTCCATAACTTCGTTTCGACGAAATTTTAACGACACAAGTTTTTACTTAATAAAACTGGTTTATTCTTTCCGAATATAACTTTACCGATACACTCAACTTCAACAATCGCGCTAAACAAACGCTATAACAACGAACGTCAATAATACTTCTGACTGCAGTTCAATTACTCACTATCTACACACACACATTACATTACCGCGTCACGTTGTCCCCCTCTTATATATACCAGCCTACCCTGTCTAGTAAATACTAGAGCATTCGCCAAAGTACAGGATAGTTCTAGAACGTGGCGTCACAGTAGTCATGTGACTTGATGACGCAACAATAATATAGGGGTTGGCTCCCTAAAGATACAGATTGTATAGCATATAAAGCATTGAGTATCTACATGTTACAGTCATCTAATGTTCATATATGTTTGGCTGGTAATTCCTGATTCACCCTATACTTAAACTTTTTAAAGGAACAGCAGATATATGTAAAAAAGATAACTTCAAGGTGTAATGATAACATAATTTATATTAGAATTATGATATATTTTAGCTTATGTAAAATATAAAACTTTTCAGAACCCCTACAATCTATGCAATGCCTTATTTAGTTTTCTACAAAACGTTTGGGTGCAATATACCAAGTGATTTTTGTTGTAGGCTGGTAAGGAGATAATAATAATAATTACAAATGGGCTGTTTTGAGTGGATTTTCTTTTCCTTGTAAGTCTAGCATGTGTGTTTTCATGCTTTTCTGTGCATTTTTATATGTGTACAGCCTAAGCAGTCAATAGTCAAGGTTTTAAAGTGTTGTTTGAACTGAATCTTTACTGTTTAAGGTGCTTTTTGAACGTTTATTAGTGTTTTGTGCAATTCCTTGCGATCCATATTATGAACCACTACCATGGTTCATGATAACATAACAGTGTTGATAATAAAGATTTTAATTTTTTGATAAAGATTGGATTTTATTTTTTATTTACAGAAGCCAAAAAGCTAAAATTGGTACAGCAGGTAGAAGCTCTAAGAGAAAAAGTATATGCAGCTCTTGAAGAATACTGCAAGCAATCATATGCTGATCAGCAGGGTCGCTTTGCAAAGCTACTGCTTCGACTCCCTGCTCTCAGAAGTATTGGTCTGACTTGCCTTGAACACTTATTTTTCTATAGACTTATTAATGATACACCAATTGATAACTTTCTTCTGTCAATGTTGGAAACCACAAGTGATACCTGATCCTGTATTTGCCTTGAAAGGTTGCTGAGAGAAGTTGTTGTTTCAGTCTCCTTTTTTTTCACCAGCCATTTGTTTTTCATCTGCATTTTTCTTAGAATCATTATGGTTCCAGCTGTGATTGTAATCAAAATACTCTTGTTGTTTGCAGTAGTGCTCACTCTTTTAACCTATTAAAGATGTGGTTTGTTGTATAATTTATAACATAATCTACTGGTTAATTTTTTGATACCATATAAACTTATTAAAGATATAGTTGTATCAAAAGAGTGGAATTTTCTGCAAAAATATGAACTTTTGACAATGTTTTCTAGCAAGATGGTGAGGCCTCTTAGTATAGAGAAATAAACAGGGAAAAGAGAGTTATTTTGATAAAGTTATTTTATTGAAGAAATTTTATTGCTGGTTGACTTATAGTATTAAGTTCTGTTTGTTTATTAAAGGTGTTTTATAAGAAAAGTATGTTTAGTATTGTACAAATAGAATAAGAGACTGGTGAAAATTAAATTTTAAATAACGAAGTTAAAGTTTTTCCACACAAGAGCATATGCATAAATGATATTCTACAGTGGTTATTTTATAAAAGTGTTACGAGTTCCATGAATTCAAAAATTAGTCATTGTTTTTTGCAATAATTCTTTTAAACAAAGAATGATTGCATACAATTTGTTTTCCAGAATGGTATGATTTCAAGTGATAACATAATGTAAGAAAATACAAAAGGAAATGTGTGAGGAGTTTCAAAAGTGTAGAGGTTCAGAAGATCTTAATTTGGGGATACAGTTGACATAAAAGTTTTTGATTGTACAAGTGTATCTTTTAGCTTTAACAGATGTTTGAAAATTAGGTGAATTATTTTCATACAAACATAATTGATACCAAATATTTCTTTTTTTGTCACAAGTTTTAAAAAATTAATACATTTCATGTAAAACTTAAAAAAGAAAAACATTTTTAGGTTGATTATATATTTGATGTGCACTATGTATAGAGATAATTCTATCAGAGAAGAGGGTACTGTACGTTTTAGGCCTGTAGAGTTGTTTTAATATTTCATAGTTTACAGGACTAGCAATATGTTACATAAGTAAATTTAATAATAAACCAGGACAAACCCAATATGATGTTTCAAGGTTATTTTCTTGGTACATTAAAGCCCCAGGGGTAAGGCTGAGAACACTGTTGTTCTTTTGCGAATCCCTTGCAGTTTTAAATGTTTTTGGGGGTTAGTGTCTGTTAATTAAGCATGTGTCAAGTACTGGAGAATGGGGGGTTGTTGAATAAGTTCTTAACTGTTTAATCACTTCAGTAGTCTTGCTACTGTGTTGTTAAAAGAATAATTTAATACTGAACATTGTGTTTATATCTTTGTAGCTTATGTCAAAGTGTTAACAAGACAATTATAAGTAGGGTATATTTATATGGGTACATTTTCCTTTATTAAAACATTATATACATAAAAAAAGAAGAGATTTACCTAAGCAGCCAAAGTTTGACAATCCTTTTTTATTCCACAAAAAAAACAAAGGATTTTTTCAACAAAAAGAAGCAGAAGATTGAGGAGCAGCTATCATGCTGCAAAAAGCAGTATCTTCTTAGGTAAATCTAATCTTTTTATGTATATGTACATATATTTATATATATATGCTGTAAATTGACTCACACAAAATATCAAAATTTAATTCACCTGTGAGGTGTGTGCATTTAAAAAAAATAGAAACAGTAAATAGGTTTGAAAATATTTAGGTAGTTGCTGTATAAGTTTTGTGTTTTTGTGATTAAGATCTCACTTGCAACTTAAGCTTGATAATAATTTGTTGCTATATTTCAAGGAATTTTTTAATTTTGGGTACAATGGTACCAAAAGTTGCTAATAATCAAAACTTGGAATTTTGATTATTATTATTTTACAAGATGAGATTAATTTTATTAATACTTGATGTATCACTAGTGACTTTTTTTTAAAATAAAGACATTATCAGTTGCAGTTTTTTGTAAAGTCCTTAGACACATCCCTCAAGTTTTCATTAACTTTGTTTTAAACAGCAATTCTCAATCTTTGGTCTGAAAGATCCTTTCATGTGGTTTGTGGAAAGGTTGCATAATTATGGAAAGGAAGTGGCAGCATAGATCTCATTGTAGTATGTTGAGATAAAAGAAATTCAGATAGTCCACAAACAAAAATATTTCAGAACCATTCTTTTTTGGTAGCTAATATCAAATTTTTGTAGATGATTGCTTTTGATTCATTAGATTTAATTGAAAGAATGAAGTATATCTAAAACTATCATTTCTGGTGTTGCAAATTTGCATTTCTGTTTCCCTTGGTGAAAAATGAGTAATTGATATTCTAATTTTTAAAGTAACTTTTTTACTGTTAAACTTCTTACATTTTTTTTATGATTAGAGATTTGATAATTGAACATTTTAGAAAAGCTCAATTATAGGAATTCAACAAAAAGAGAAATGTTATATTTTATCTGTTTTATACTACAAATTCCACTGCATGTGTCTTTCAGTCTTTGAGGATTTCATAGAAATAAAAGGAGTAAACATGATTCTTTCAATAAGGAACCCAACTAATTCACAATATTATAAGATAATTTTTAAACAAAATCAGGCTTGTGTATCTTTATGAAACAAATTGTCAAATGATGTCCTAATATTAGTTGTTTCAAATTTTTTGCATATGTCAGTTTTACATAAAACTGTAATATTCTACAAAATTCAAATTAGTCTTCACTTTACCAGGCACATGATATCCCCCAGTATTCATATCTGTCTCCACTTTACCAGGCACATGATATCCCCCAGTATTCATATCTGTCTCCACTTTACCAGGCATTTACCAGAGTGG